TAGATGTATGCCAATTACAGCAAGAGCGAAGCATCCTTTCTGGAGATACCTACTAACAAACATCTATCCATATTGTAATTCAGATTTATAATATTAGTAAGAAGTAAGATATTAGTAAGATTAAAAGATATTATTTAGTTTCTAAGATCAACATCAACAATTAAGTACTGGAAAAACATATATAATACTAACTTCAAAGATTCCTCCTTCGACGCTCTTCTTTACTTCCGTTATCTTGACAAGGTCCCCTGTCCGTCATGTCTTAGAGGACTTCACAATTACTGTATCGGAACCGTACCTGGTAATGAATATTATATCATATTACAATACTGAAGATTCAATTATTTATATTATTACACATTTGTTTATTGTTCTTGTATTGAATTTGCAGACTCATGAACCGTATCGCAATGGTTTTAATACTTCCTCTTGAAAAGCGTCGCGTGGAACATCCACATCCGTTTTGTATGAGTCACTGTAAATATAACTTAGCGTTACATCGGCAAAATTTACTTTATTTTCATACAGCTAAAAAACAATTTCAAATGATGTACTGAATACACTCATTATTTGCTCGTAACATCCGTTTTTATGTTTGTTATGTAGAATCTAATGTAGCTGGCTGATTTAACTAATGACCCCGCATTTTGACGGCCTTGCTTTATAATCTACTAATATTATTTCTTAATTACATCGGGGTTTCGATGTTATTATTCATAAACGAATTCTGTCCATCAACGATATACTAATAACACACAATAACTTGATGTGACTTTTCCTTCCAGGATGTTATTGCCAATTTCCATTATTAAAATACCTGTATAAAACATATTACCTCTCGCGAGAGACTCCATCCTTTAAAAAATAGCTTTCGAGTTCTTCCAGACTATGTCCTACATCTATGCCAAATTTCAGCGAGATCCGTTCAGTCGTTTGGGAGATACCTTTAAACATCCATCCATCTAAACATTCGCATTTATAATATTAGTAACATTAGTAAGAAGTAAGATCGTCATCCTTCTCATTTACTTTGGAAAATAGGTAACAATATGTTTTTATGTACATTTATTTACTCAATTTAAACATACTGTCGAAAACCTCCAATGCAGGTTTGGATTGGAGTAGATTATCAAATCAAACTTGCACAGCGTTGCTAAAGAAAAGAATCAAAGTTTGATTTGAACTTATACGTTATAATTTATTGTTGATTTATTACGCTTTATAATCGTAGCCTAATCTAAATGTATTAAGTGGCTTCATATAGCTATTACCAAAGTTACAGTGTAGACACCTTTCACTTTCTTCGTTATTGGTACGACGATTTACACGACGCAAACAGTAATGTTAAGAGTAAAAAGTTAATTAAACTGACTAAAGGAAAGTTCAGTCGTGTATTTATATAATAACTTCGCGTATCGAATTATTAAAGAACTATCATAATAACGATCTAATCTTAATTGAAATGTTTGTAATTAATAATATGGCAATCTTCAAAATCGTAGTGACTTATGAATTTTTTTTAAATATTAAATAACAGAACAATTTTCTAAAAATGTTTGTGACATAAAAACTTATACATTAATATATTGTTACTATCTGTCGCCCGCGACTATCATCATCAGCACACTATACGTCCCCACCGAGGGGCTCGGAGCCTACCCTAAGTTAAGGGTGATTAGGCCATAGTTAACCACGCTGATCCAGTGCGGGTTGGTTGACTTCACACATATCTTTAAATTACTTCTAAAATATGTGCAGGTTGCATCACGATGTTTTCCTTCACTGTATGAACGTCGGATAAACGTACATATGTAAATCAGAAATCGAAAAACACATTGGCACATGGCGGGATTCGAAACCAAGACCTGCAGATTGCAAGTCAAGTGCTTGACCACTGAGCCACCGACTGTGTCTGCGCGTAATTAAAAAACAATTAGAAGTCTATGCGTTCTTCCAGACTATAATTATATGTATGCCAAATTTTATCCAGATCCGTTCAGCCGTTCAAGAGATACCTTCGAACAAGCATCAATCCAAATAAACATTCGCATTTATAATATTAGTGATATTTCACTATATAAGAGTACTAATTAATAATGTTTTGGCAGAAATATATACTTATGTACTTACTACTAAAGGCGGCTTAACATCGAGCCATCATGAAGCCTGCAAGGAGGCTGTCAAGAAGGTTAACGTAATTAAATCTTTATATCCGCATGTCCTTTGATTCGTTACTTTAATTATAGATTATATCATTTTTTGTTTTTGTGTAATATATGAACATTATTATTTTGTTGTTTTCTCTTGAAATATTTTGCATATTAAAAGAAAAGGCAATTTAATAACGAAAGAGTCAAAGGACAAACATGATCTTTCTGACCTCGATATTAATTTTGGCACCGGGTCAAGTCAAGCCCATTGGCATAAATTGCTATCCGTTAGGTCGGTGAAATTGTTATATTTATGATACCGTTCCAACACTTCCTTCGGCTATTAGTTAAAATTGAAAGTTGATTTTACAAAAGTATTACAAAAATATTATGCCGTGTTTTTAAAAGCGTTGATTTGTAGTTTGCTTTAATTGGAACGTATGTTTGAGATTTTTTGCAGAAAAGTATTAAATGACAAGAGGTATATGTACGAGTATTTTTACACTATAAATAGGGAAGTCAAACAATGGTTCCTTCGAATACGAACCACACACAAAATTTGTGAAACCCGTTAATATTCAAATATTAAATAGATATGTCACTTTTAAATAGACCACGAGACATCGATGTGTCTTTATCTATAACCTGATCTACACTATTAAATGAATATGGATGAGATCCCGCGAGAAACTTATAATAGGAACATAAATTTCCAATAGGGTTGCGTTTACATTAGTAGTTTCAAAACAAAAAAAAATAATCTAACCTCTTCTGGATCCATTATTATTTAGAACTAGCTGTTGCCTCCGATTACGTCCGTGCGAAATTATAAAAACTTATTTTGTAACCTATCTTCTTCCATGTGCTACATCTATGCCAAATTTCAGCGAGATCTATGCAGCCGTTTTGGAGATAGCTTCTAACAAACTTCCATCAATCCCAGCATTCGTATTTATAATATTAGTAAGATAGCTATTACATTAAAACAAGTGAAATTTAAAGCCGTTTCATTCATCTTCATATGCAAATTGTATTTGGTTAATGTCAATGAGAGGGAGTGGACACTCGTCGAGACATGTAAATAACCCAAAGACTTTGTTTTGCAACGCTTTCTATTTAGATAGATAATTTCAACTTGTCATCAATGGACATTTAATGTATTTTTTTTGTTTTATCTGTGGAAGCTAAATCCGGTGGTCGCTGCGTAATTTGTCATGATCTATCCGGTTACATATTATAAGAGTATAGTTTTAATTTTTATAATATATTAAGTATTACTGGCTAATGATTTAATTTCTTTCTTATTATTAAACATAATTAAGGCAACAGATTCTCGCCTTTATAAACTAAAAAAAAAAGTTATTCTAACTTTGTCTAGTCGTAAGTCTATGAAGGATAATTTCCTAATATTTTTTTAAATGGTGTAAGTGATCGCACCCCTAGTAGTGTTTGCAATGTACCTGTTTATTGCGCTACTTAGATAATTTGCTCATTACAGTGAAGCAGTGGTTAGTGGGCAGTGGGGCTGGAAGGCTGAGCCATGCGGCCGGTAGCGCGATCTGTCAATCTGAACGATGTGCTAGTTTTCACTAATATTAAACGTTAATTAAATTATAGATAACTTTCAAGATTTTCTTACACAGGATTAAATAGAGATTTTTAAATATACACACATTCTGGATATCGAAAATCTGACATTATATAATTATAACTAGCGGACCCGACCGACGTTGTCCTGTCTACACGTCTTTAATTTGAATAAATTAATATGAAGTAAATATTTGATGAAAATTGTGAATCTAAACCATTCCCAGATCCCCTTGAACACACACAAAAAATTTCATCAAAATCGGTCCAGTCGTTTGAGAGAAGTTCAGTGACATACACACTCACAGAAGAATTATATATATAAAGATATAAAGATTATGAACAGGCAAAAGACATCAACGACAACTATTGCTACAAATATTAGGTGTTTGCCGTTTTGTTATTTTTTGTAACCTGGTAATAAAAAATCGCGTAATTTTTATTCAGTATTAAATTATGTTGTAAATGATTTCTTCCACTTCTTCTCAGCAATATGACAAAGTAAATATTGACATTTATTTTAACTAGAATAGAGGAGATTTTTTACAAGTAGAGTTTCACAAATTGTTCCATTTGCTCCTATTGCTTTGTTTATTTCTGTGTTCATTATAAAATATAACTTTCATTATATGCTTTCATTTTCAAATATCTAATTTTAATGTATATGCATAATTTATGTTCCGTAATTGGTGAACTGCATCTAGCATACGTACTTATTACCAGAGTGTAGCGAATACAATTTAAATCTCTAGCGAAGTCTCTAGGTCAATAGAGCGATCGGGTCACTACATCACAGACGCATTCGAGCGTCTCGGCAGACTGAGGAAGTCAATTACACAAATCGCTTTAGAAAACGAAGTGTTGGAGCGTGAAAATGGAAGTGTTTATTCCTAGTACACATTGGGCGCTTTGGAAAAGCGTGTTCTATTGCTTACGATGGTTCCTAATGCACCTGTTCCTGTTGCCTGCTTGTTCAATGTATTAATCCCTGTTGCATTTTGTCAAATCCGTACAAATGTTTGTCAACATGCGCTCTATGTTTGTCCGGTTCTTTCTGTCTGCAAAATAGTGTGTCCTCACTTTATACACCTCCCCACCGAGGCTATACTTATGATTGGGATGACTAGGCCTTAGTCAATCACGCTGACACAATGCGGATGTTTGATTTGTCGGTTGTTTAAATTTCTACGCAGATGTGTGCCGGTACACGGTGAAGGAAATAATGTACACTAATACTGATTTAATGTATGTCGTATTGTGCAGAGGTGCTGCATTTGATCGGCGAACCGGATTTCCGCGACGTGCGGCTGCGCTGGGAGTACGGAAGCGAGGAACAGAGGCAGCTGCTCGCCTTCCAGGTGCACTACTGCGAGCTGCAGGCCTGGGGACAGTACAGGTGTCGAACCAAAGTAAGTGCAATGAAAGACAAAAAACAATTGTAGTTGATAATCGGCTCATAAGGAACGGCGAAACCTTCGGTAAATTTAGTAATTTCGAAATACTTATAAGAAAACCGTTTGCATATTAAATATATCAAAATATCTCAATTTAAATCAGTAGGGTCGGCCCGGTTCTGCATCTAGCATAGAACGGGATATAATGGCGGTGTCGGAGGCAGGCGTGACCGTAACGCCACAGTCCGCCGCCGCCCTAATGCTCGTTATTACATTCAGGTGCTTTACCGCGCTGTAAAATAAGCGGTCACAAGATTTATTACTGGCTTAACGATTTATCTTTAGTGTTTTTTTCTTAAGATAAAATTTAAATTACCATAATTGTAATGAATCGAATTACTAGTATAAAGTTTGACCGAAGATAGAATGACCTTGAAATATTCGTGTGAAAACATCGATTTATCTAACTTATTTATCAGTACCAAATTCCTCTTTTTTTTAGAATAGGTAAAAGCTCTACCACACCTATTAAGTTAATTATTTTTCCTAGGTAGTAGAAAATCATGAAAGCGAAAAGGCGTTACGCAGCCGTGCTGGCGACATATCGACGACCACGCCGAGCGGTCGTCGCGGCCGCGCGTACAGCACACACATCTCCGGCCTGCGCATGGCCACCACATATTCCTTCGAGGTCCGCCCCGTGAGGCGAGACGCACGCGACCTAGCGGACCCACAATCTATCGGGTCCAAGATCATCATTGTACCTACTAAAGGATGTAAGTTCTCTAATCTACATTTCGGTATATTGTGAAGATTTCGTTGTTTTTGAATTTGTGACTTTAAAAATACACATCAAAAGAAAGATTCTTTCTTAAGCTTAATATGTTTTGTTTTGTTGTTGCTTGAACGAAATAAAGATGTTGATATTTTGCGGCATCTATACTCTATAGTGCCTAAATCTAAATGGAACTTTATCAGTTTCAGCCCGTGCGACTCAATGTCTGCCACACGCCAGCGAAGTAGAAGTATCGACGGGACCGTATTTCGGTGGGCGCATAGCTGTAGAGGCGGCGGATGGTGGGCCCGAGCGCTGTGCGTTACAAGGAAACCCGCGCAGTGCGCAGGACGCCTACATCCTCAGGATACACCACCGGGAGTGCGGCTCCGAGGTCAACGACACCACCGTCGCTACCTACGTCATCGTGCAAGAGAACCTTCCTATATTGACGCATAGCACACGCCGGTATGTAATTCCAGCAACTGCGTAAAGTGTCTTTTAGAGAGATAGAGTAAGAGAATGCAATTTTTCTTTGCAGATTTTTGGTTTTATGTACGTACAAACCAGAAACTCTGACGGTCCGAGCTGGTATTAATTTGCCGAAAGCCGATCCTGGAGACGTGCTGCATCAGACCAAGCCGATTGGCTCTGTGGAACCGTATGACAACCAGGACATGGACTACAATGATCTACAACCGGCCAGGCTTGAAGCGCGCAAGGAGGAAAGTCAACAAAGTATGTTATTTACAAAACTTGCAGATTTATTTTATGTTATTTTTATTTTATGTCACCATTGAATAAACTCTGAAGTTTGGACGATTCAAAGTTACTAAAGTTAATGAATTTTCAGGTGCATTTGGCGAAGTCTTATTAGTGATATTCTTAGTAGTCGCTGCGTTTGGTGGTATTGCGCTACTCGTATGGAAGATGGTACCACAGACGGACAAAGACAATGTATCTATAACAACAATGTCATCAATGCGGAGTAGTATATTCGGAAGTCGAAACAGGGATAGGTTTTCAGACAGAAGTTCCGTATACTCAATAACGTTATCAGAAAAAGAAGGAACGAAGAAAAGTAATGAAGGAGACAATACATCTGAAGCGTGAATTTACTGAATAAGGCTTATTTATAACTTGCACGTGTTGTGTAGTATTATATTGTGATGTAAATTGGTCAAAGTAGCTTACGTAAATACATATAGAACTGTGGGTCTTGCATGAATATTTGTGTCAAGCAACATCGTAACGTAAACGACAAAATTGGTATTAATTTGTGCAGCGCCCTTTATCGGGCGCACGTACACAAAAAATCTCATTATAATATTGACATTTGATAACAGTTCGAAGGCGTTTGTCACAAATATTCACGCAGGCCCACTGGTAATGTTGAGGCTACGACACTAGAAGTCCACTTTGATCCTGTTGTCTACAAAAGCTATTTAGGATCGAAGTGTCATAGAGTTTAGCAGACAAATTGACAAGAAAAATATGCAAATTTATTATTATTTTTATTTAAACGTATTCCTAGGATGTTTCCTAAAATATTTAGTTCTATTCGAATTTACGTAAAAATTAGGGATAATATTTTGTGTGCTAATTTGACTGGACTAATGGTAGGTATTTTGTATTAATAAAGCAAAAAGTTGCGAATGTACAAAGAGTATAAGAAAGAAAGACAGTGGAGTGTTTTGGTCTCAAATGAATTTTATTCTCGGTTTTAGTTGGACACTTGCACTGCGATGCTATGATGGCCATACAAAGATAGCATATTTTAATCGTATATTTTAAATTATATTCTAGGATAAGAAAAAAAATGAGTGAAAAATAAAAAATGAAACATATATACAGTACATTTATTTGTAAATAATTTCCTTTGTTTCATCTAAAAGCGAAAATTCTTTTTTCATATCAATATTAGGGAGTAAAAACTGGTAGACAATATCATTGAGTTCTTCAAGAGCAGTTTGTGCGTGAAGTTTGACAGCATGATCTTCGTTCGGGTCTTTATACAGTTTATTTAACATCCTGTATAAAGGAAGTAAGTGTTCTTTCAGCTGAATCAAAGTTTCCTTCCCCAGGCCTTTGAGTAAACTTGATATGACCATAACAGCGGCCCTCCTGCATTCCACAGCTTTATCTGTTTCTATTATGCTCCCAATGCACAACAAAACCTGGAAAGAAATTCACTTTAAAGTAAATTAAAAGTAGAAAAAAAAACAAACGAATTGAGAACCTCCTCCTTTTTCAAGTCGGTTAAAAAGAATATTAATGAAAAATATACAAAGGCTTTATAATTTATTACATTTGCATATATTGCCTAAGGCTATTTTTAATTGATGAAGCTTATTTGCGACAGATGGTATATTATAAACTAGCAGTCACCCGCGACTCTGTTCGCTCGAAATTAAAAAAAAAACATCTATGCCAAATTTCATCGAGATCCGTTTAGCTGTTCTGGAGATACGTTGAAACACACATTCAAACATTCACATTTTTATATTAGAAGTAAGATTACGTTGTCTCAATCACAAACACTTTTTAATAAGATTTTTGACGGTGCTATTATTATGTAATCATAAGAAAACGAGGTACGGAAATCGAAAAAATGATTAGAAACTTCATGGTAAGTAAGCAGTTAGGTTAAACTATATAACTTACCTCATAAATGATGGAGCCAATCCTATAGTGCAGGACCAAAGATATCTCAGCCAAGTTGGACAATGCAGATGCCCTAATTAACGGATCGTGATCTCTACATGCCGTCAACATTGTATTCAATAAAATTGTTTTATGAACTATACTCATATCACCTGCAAATAATTTATACAAAAAATAGTACTTTAAGGGCTTATACAGTTTTTATTTACAAGATATTTTAAATTCTATAAATCATCATCATCATCAGCTCACTATACGTCCCCACTGAGGGGCTCGGAGCCTGCCCTAAGTTAAGAGTGATTAGGCCATAGTCAACCAAGGCTGGTCAAGTGTGGGTTGGTTAACTTCACACATACCTTTCAATTTCTTCTCAGATACGATGTTTTCCTTCACCGATGTTTTATAAATTATTTCTATAAAAATCATTTTTTGTACCCCATTCATAAATCACCGAACAGCTTATAATTATTAAAAAATATTTAAATAATAAAAGTATTTATGAAATATCAGAGAAGATTTATGCCCTAAAAAAGTTAAAAAATTAAATAGAAAAATGTTTGCCACCTTTTAAGAAACTTTTGCTTGCTCTATGGCATTTGACATTATACTTTTTTTGAATTTGGCATTTCAAAGCATGCTGGCTGAAGAGACTTATAGATAAAAGTTATGAGTTTAATAAATGATTAAATCAAACTTACCAAGTCTTTTAGTTACTTTTACGATTATATCACCTATTTTTAATCTCATCTCTTGAATTTTATCTTGCATTTCTCTGGTTTCGATACATTCAAATGTAGTGGAAATGTTAAGAAATTCTTTGCATAACACATTTAGTACATCTTCAGTGCAATGCATAGCTAACGCGGCGATACCGTTTATTGCAGCTAAATATATGTATGAATCTGCATCTTTCAATTGTTCCTGAAATGATTTAATATGTACCATTATATTTTTAATTTTAACAGATTTTTGTTAATTTACTAATAATTAAATACTAAGTAAGCTCTAGGCATGTTATAGGATATGGTTTATAATAATTCAATGACAGGATTTAAACTCTCGACCATGTCATCGGAAATCTGTACCCTTAACCATTAGGTTAATGGAGCTCTAAATTTTTTTAAGTAATATTAAAAAATATTAGACTGAGAATTAACACTAAGCCACTCCAGTTTTGTTTAGTTAGACAAATAAACAAATCTGTTGGCCGCTCGCTTTTTTTGCCACCTTATACTATAAAAAAAAAATCAAATCTTTCAGCCACATTCAAGAATAAAATATTTTCTTTTTACAACATTGGTATAGTTTTAAATTATATTACCTGAAATAAACAAAAAACCAAATGACGTTTGGATATTGTTTCTGCATCTTGTTGATTAATTAATTTTGTTAGTTCTAGAATCCCATGACCTCTCGTAGGTAATAAATTGTCAAAAGCATTTGACACGGCTTTTTCATAAGCTGAATTTTTATTAATCCTACCACCATTTATAAGTAATATTGCTTCCTTAGATAAAATACTATTAGTGTTTAACTCATCTTGAGATATTTTTTCTAATATTGGAATAATTTTTTTTAATTTAACAGTTAATCTATAATCATCAATGTTTGGTAAAATTGTGTTCAACAGAATTAAAGCAATGGTTTCACATTCACTATACTTTTTATTTTCTTCAAGAAAATATTCTATGAAGTTGAAAACAATTTGAGGTGTTCTTTTCAAACATTCATTTATATTTGATGATTCTGATATCACAGATAATAAATGTAGTACATTCAGGTATTGTTTGTCTAAATCATTTAGCAAAATTGGTTCATCTTCTGGTGCTAAAAGAGGTTCTATTTTTATTCCGTTTCTCTTTACACTAAAATCAATTAACATTTGTAAAGAAATTTCTAATACAGCTTGAATAAAATTGTGATCAGATATCTGTTTAAATAATTCTATAAAATAAAAAAGTGCATCATCTTGAGGATAAATATTATTCATAGCTTTCAATATTAAACCGGCTTGAATTTCTTCAACTGTAACTTTAGATAAAGTTGTATCACCAAATAAAAATGATTTCAGTAAAACAGGTATTTCATTTTTATCCATTTTCTCCATACATTTAGTTAAAATTTCATTTAATTTATTTTTTATTCCTTCATTAGTACATTTCATACCTATAAGAAATAATATAGATAAATTTGGAGTTAAAAGTTTTCTAATAATGTCTTGATTTGGCAAACTTAAGGCTGAATGATATGTTTGTATTTTGTGTTCTATTTGTTGTGTTGTAAATATTATTGTTCCTGGTATATATGATTTAGATATATTTTCACATTTAAATGAGTCAAAAACATCTTTTGTTAAAGCAATAACTGCTATTGATTCCGGATATTTTTCTGTTAAAGTTATTAGACAGGCTATTGCAGTTGTTAAGTATTTATTATTATTTAATATAAGAATTTGCTTTAATTGGTTGCAAATGTTTTGCACATATTCGTTTTCACAAGTGTCACCATGTTTTGTTGCAATTAATTTGCAAATTATGTCAATTTTTTTCCATTCTATTCCCGAGTCCATTTCTAAACTATCCATAAAACATCTGATGAGACTTAGCAATCCTCCCTGTGCTATAAGTCGACGACTCAACTCTTTTGTGATTGTTCTTCTAACAAATGCAGGAGGTGTCTTGTCTTTTACATTTTGTAAAACTAAAAGTTCCTTCATAAGTATCGGTTGAAAGCAATTGCTCACTAAATTATCATATATTTTGATATATTTCTTTTTATCCAAATTTAATTTATCATACATTTCTTGTGTCATTGTGAAATTAGTATATACTCCTGGCTTTTTCAATGGAGCAAAGGAAAGCTGTATTAATGCAGCTAAGTAGTCTGATAAATGAAAACTGATTATTATATTCTTTAAAACTGGTATAGAATAACTTCTTACAAAGAAATCTGTACACTCGGTAAGTAATTCATATTTTTGCTCATCAGATAAATCAGTAGCAGATAACATGGCTGCTAGTGTAGATCTTTTAGATAAACTGATTCCCAGACCAGGCACCAAACATGGTGATATGCCAAGGGAAACAATGAGCTGAAAACACGTTCTCAAAAGCTTTTGATTCTTCACACTTATGAGCACAGTATCATCCTTTTTAATGTAACATGCTAAATCATCTATTTCCTTAAATATTTTATTAAGAAAAGTCTTTGTGGAGATAAAAATGATAGACTTATCTTTACTACTTGTTTCATCATTGTTTAGCAAGATTGGTATGAACCCAGAATCACCTGAAAGTAAGTTTTTGTTACAAGTAACAAACAATAATATAAAAATGAATAACAATGTTAACAGCTCTTTACTCACCAATTTTTGTAAATCTTTCGATTCTTTCAAATATTACATTGATATGATCCATTTTTTGATTTGGTTGATATATTTTAATGTTTATTTTCGTAGTTAAATCTGTACTTTTGTTTAATTAACTAAACTTTACACACTTCTCATGTGTTTGGCAGTTTTTTGACAAAGACAGTGACAGATCTAGATCAAAAAGCAAAGAAAGATCGAACACAGTTTAAGAATGTGACACCAAAGAGTATATAAAATATGTGACACCGTAATCCATTTGTATTTTTGGCGCCTTAAATTAACTGAAATTACAAGAGACTCGATTTATTTCCATGTTGTAATTAGTCATGGGTAAATAAACGGTTCAAGATATGAGACCTGAACCATAATTTAAACATTCTTGTGTAATTAAAAAACAACTCAATGGCTCTACCTAACTTTTAATGGCTCCTCGGGCGTCAAAAACAAAAGTAAGTATCTGTGGAAAACTGAAAAAATGTCAATTAATGACAGTGACAGTTAGGATTCCGATACATGAAATCACCGAATCTAGAATTTACTTAGAGGAAAGTTCGATTAGGATTTTGATTAGAACTGTTATATTACTAAGTTTTCATCATGCTTATCAAAGTCAAGGTATGTTTAATGTTTTAAGATCTTTTATTGCCTTAGGTTTCTTTGTACATAACCTATTTTTGTTGTAGACTCTCACAGGCAAAGAGATTGAAATAGACATAGAACCCACAGATAAAGTGGAGAGGATTAAAGAAAGGGTTGAAGAAAAAGAAGGCATTCCACCGCAACAACAGCGGCTTATTTTTTCTGGTAAACAAATGTAGGTATTTGTATTAACTATTGTATACCAACATCTATGCTATTCAAATCGTTATTTTACATTGTCTAGTTAAAAAACTGCGTCTCATATGTGCTTTACTGTTAACTGAGTTTAATATATGGACATTTTGTAAATAGTTCTCAATATATAATTGTACAACATCAGTAACATCCCACATGTTACACAGAGCCCAAATTCATTATTTTTCTTAAATGATAAACTTAAATATGACCATGAGCAAGCTTTTTTGTAATTAGACTGTGTTTAGGAGGCAAAAAGTTGATCTCTAAATAGCCTAATTCCATATTACTAGATTCTAAAATAGAGATTAATATATTTTCTTACATATGTAAGGTAATGTAAGTTTGAATTTCAGATGTTAATTAAATACTTATTTGTTCGATGTGGATTATACTGGCTTGATTGAGAACATTATTTGTTACAGGAATGATGAGAAAACGGCGCAAGATTACAAAGTACAAGGTGGATCAGTGCTGCATTTGGTGTTAGCGCTGCGCGGGGGAGAGTGAATTCTGTGATCATTGTCTCATATTTATAACTACTTAATTTTATTTCTCATTTTGTGTATAAAATAAACACAATTACATAAATTAAAATAATTCTTTGTTTATTTGCAATTGCAAATTATTTGAAGTTGAAAATTTAATATGGAACTTAACACTAAGTCCTTTGCTATGTTTATATTTGTTTTGAAGAGTAAATAAAGAAAAAAACAACAGTACATGTATTTATCAAATTCTAATTTCAGCTTTTGTTGGTCTATCTATATAAATAAAATTATTGGTTGTATGTTTATCCCTTGTGCATACCCAAACTGCTGGATGTTTGAAATGTTGGTAGGGTGTTTGGGCGTTCTCTTTCCAAAAATTGAATTACAGTAGATAGTTTGTATGTAGTCCAATATACCATAAACTTGTTACATATTGTCTGTCTCATATCAAATTTTAAATTCCCATTTTGTCACACATGGTCTATACAGAAATTTATTTTTAACTATCGATCACCTGGGACTCGTCAGCTAGGAATAAAAAATAAAGGTACTTCTGGATCACCTACTTTCTAGTTCAAGTCCCGTTATTCATCAGTGCAGACATTTCGTTGATTTTCCGGAATAAACTAGGATTTGTAGACAGACAGACAAAAAAGTTTTTTTTCCTTATAAGTAATGCAAATATATTCGTTTATTTCCGCATTACATACAGATATTCCAGTTTTATTAATTGTAATAGTATAGATATATCGATTTTCATAGTCATTTTAGGTACATCTGCAACTGTTGAATAAATGAATGAAAGGTAATTTTTGAGCAGGTAATTTATTACGTCAATAACATTGTACATTAAATTCAGGTATAAATACACATTTTGCACTGAATTCAGAAATTACATAAAAATAAACATCTTTGGTTTACCAAACAAATCAACAACATCGAGTCCCTAAATTACTTATATTAAATATCGATTATTTTATATTTAAATGTTGCCACAAGCCTTTTAAAATTATCTAATAAATTGAGCATTTTTATACTCTTGGAATCGTAAAAAATTAAAATTAACTATGCACATGTCTAAAACAAGCGCCAGTTTCAATGAATTTAAATACAAATAATAAAAAAAGAAACTACACAATTGCATTTCTAATTATGACATTTTTATGCAAAACATTGTCATAAAACACTATGTTATACATATGTATGTACATATTAAAATGGTTTAAATGACTTTGGGACGGAAATATTTTCCTTTTAAAAATTGAGTTTGAAAAAAAAAATTATAAAAAAGATATTGGACTACACCTCAAGGAGCAAGCTTGCAAAAAAAATAAACAAAACTTAAAAAAAATTGCGATAAAAGTAAACATAGAGAATGGTAAAAATGCCTAGAGAAATGAGCATGTTTGGCACAGAATACTTTCACAAAGTTGCTTTAATACTAAAATATGCAAGACCTAATTTACATACACTATGCTAAAGTACACATTCGATAAGAAATAAATGTAGAATATATTAAAATAATGTAGATATCACTTACTACATTAATAAATTGTAACAATAACCTATTGCATACAACATCCACGATGTTCGTTCCACTAAACTATAAGTACATTTCAAAAATCTATGTGCACATACACACACATTTTCACAGATATTTAATATTTCTTAAAACCTGAATCACGTCAATTTTGTTTTACAATACAATAATAGTTGTTTCACAAAGAAGCCAAATAAGTATGAAAACATCAGACACATAAATATTTCGTATTAAGGGAAGTGATTTTATCAGGAATGTCAGATTACAACGACTACTATTTGTTATTGTGAAACGTTTAACAAAATCCGAAAGCTTTACATTATAATCTATTCTTAAAACTTTAAAACTATATTTGAGGATGGCACATGCACATATTCACAACACATACACTACCTTCGGAGTTAGAGTATTTGGGAGTTGACTTTGCCAACAATGTGTATACATTGGCGTTTGACGATGGTTCAACCATCGGAGAGAGCGGGTGTGACCCAGCCGTACTTGTCGTGTGTTTTGACGAGGGAGCGGAAGGCTTCTTCCGCGCGGCGGCGGGAGAACTCCCGAGAGTGACGGGGCGGCGCGCGCGCCACTCGTCCCTGACCCTTTACCACGGAGGCGGCAAACTGCATCACTACTGCCTCTACAGTATACGCGGAGGCCCAACCGCGAGGTGTTAGCAGTTCCATACATATAGCACCGCCTGTTACAAAAACAAGGAGATGAATTAATAAACTGTAGAATAAATTTTATCTGAATTAGAAGGATCAATCTATGTTATTACATTCGTTTTTAATATGGTAATGTAAATTTATCTGTATACATTTTTTACTTCTTGTTAACAATAATTATGTCCACACTGACCTTCCATAACAAAACCCTTTTCTATCCTTGGTTCGATGACCCTCATAAAGGGCGGCGCGAAGGGGAAGTTTTCTGGGAAGATGAGGTGCAGCAGGATGTTAGGTATGTGGAGTTCGCGCAGGTCCCCCGCTAGCTCGCTCTCCGGGTCGATCTGGTGCAGGCGCACGTGCCACTCGAATAGATTGTCATTCACTAATTCCACCTGAAACCATATTGGAATAACCAACTAATCAACTAAATTATAAATCTTATTGGTATTTAAAATGAGTAAGTTATTTATAATAACTATCACAAACAACCACAACTATAGTCCATGACCACGAGCAAAAGTTGCTTGACTTATGTCATGATAACAAATACGCTACGAGAAGTTCACTAAAAACAACGTTTCTTTTTTATTTTGAAAACTGCAGGATTAATTACAAGTATTTATTTTATTTAATTATGTTTGTATTATTCTCCACATATCTCCACATATGTATCAATGTGACACCAGAAATAATAATGTTTCCTTAAATTTAAAGACCCGGAAACAAGGTCAACAGCACGACACCCTGACTTACTTTTTAGTGGCGATAATTACTGAAAATAATATCTCTATTCTACTTTATATATGTTTAGAAAGTAGGTCGACTAACCCGATGAATGACCGTTTACAAAACATCCATATTAAAAATAGAAAAGCGTTTAACTTCTCTAAAAATATGTTCAGATTCACACATTATATATCACATAAATTGATTTGGTTAACTTCTTCCGTTACATATTTACATTACACTATATATTTACCTTTTATATAAAAACTAAGCGTTTTTACGCTATATTTTAATTCTAATAAACTAGCAAAGTAGACTCCACCACTAAATGTGATTCAAGCTAGGAATAGAGAGGTGAAGAGTGGTGTTGTACCGTGAAGGCGGGATCAGGCCTGTTCTCCTGCAGACGCTGTATCTCCTTGAGCTCCTTCATGAGTCTTCGCGTGCGAACAGCAGCGGCGCGCTCCCGCACCTCGCCTGCTGCCGCGCTGCCCTTCTTCTTTACGAGTGATGTAGCGCCGGGACTCGAGGGCAGGCTTGCAGCCGCCTCTGCAGGGCTAACGCCGTCTCTGTGGATTTTTTTTATCATTATTAATACCCTAGTGAAGTAAACGTAACTTAGTGATACAAGGCATAGTAACAGTGGAGGGAGAAAAGGAAATTGCTCTATCGACAGAGATTATAGATAATTTTTCTTTGATTGAAATGTGTTTTGGTGTTTATTCTGTAAATATATTAAGTTAGTTCTATGTGTTTTAAGTGATATATATTTTTTAATTAGCATAAAGTGATTTCACCGTTAAAGATTAAGCAACATAAGGTAATTTTTGAAATTTTAAATTACTTATAAGGTTACCTACTTGTATAAATGGCAAGTTATTTAGCATGCGCGCCGCATCGTAGACCATTCACGTGGGTCTGCGTATTTAAGCTATCACGTTTATGTTAGTCATTGTTTTGTTTTATTGATACAAAAAAACAAAACAAATACGTTTTATACGTTGCTTATAAAACGTAAAAAAAAATGTGTGCCCGTTGGGGTCTGCGAATAACACAACGAAAACGTGTCTTTACATCAATAAAAATGATAAAACAAAAGTAATTTTGATTACAACTTTTTATCGGTTGAGTTGCTGGAGTCATAATATTATTTCATATTATGATAAATATTAACATTCGGACAATCGATCAACATTTTACAATATTATATTATGATGCACACAGCTTACACATGTAAATATTATTGTTAAAACAAATCCCCTTCACTTTCCAAGATAAAATATCTTTTGAAACATTGTATTTGGTCTCTAATTCGTATATCACGTTTAAGCAACCCGTCGTAAATATTTTGCGTCTCACGAAGTAACTATACCTTAACTATCCCTTGGGATGTATCAAAGAAGATAACACTAGACAAGAAAGACCTTTATTGCGGTCATATGCGGACAAGTCACCATTACAATACTGCAGATTTTTTACATTACTACTAAAAAATTAGCGTGGTCGTTGTTCAAGTGAAATCATTATAGATCTTAGTAGTTTAATATAAAAATAATAAAATACGTTCCCAGAAAAACGGAATAGTGCGATTAAATCAGATCGTAGTCGTTTCACACACGCCAAGTTTTAATATTTAAACGTTAGTTTCTTTGTTATTTGCGTAACCTTCGTACCACGCTGCGCCGTGTCTACGCATTACAAAATGACTGGGATTCGTGTCTGTGAGCTTTTATGATACTATTATATAGAGCTATCTCTACATGTATTTGCAGAAGACGAAGATAATATAGCAATTTATATGATACGTGTTCGTTAAACGTAAAGATTTGAATCTGAAATACGTTTAAAAATATATTGGATTTATTTTATTGCTAACCAAATCGTCTCGAGCACTGATAGAGAAGTAAAGTAGACAATTTACTAAATGTTAGAAGAGCTTTTGAGAGTTGAAATAGTATTTTCAGGTTTTGTATTTTTTTTTTATTTACGGAACAATATTTACGTACTGTTTTAAATGAAAAAAAAAAATTATAAAAAGATACTGAAACATACTCGTAAAATCTTCCAATATTATTTTTGCTTGTTTTATTTATGTAACATTGTAACTTGTTTTTGTTTCTGTGTAAATTTTCATCTATCCGTTACGCATATCATTCGCATACTCCTTTCTCGTCATTTAAAACCGTCATCATAAGTCACAACATCCTCAAGGGAAGTGGATATCATCGTTCATACTTTTACTGGCATCAGGTTGAATTTCATAGTATATTTTTTATTTATAGTGAATCATATTCTGTTGAGTAACATAACCTGTAGGACGGGTGACTCCGTGGAAAGTAAAGATTTACATCTGCTAGTAATTGCCTCTTGAGATCACCATTCTATTGTTTTTTTTTAGCAAAGAATATTTATTTTCTACCACTCGCAAATTATCGAGCTTGTTCATGGCCGGTGTTAATTACTTAATACTTCCCACAGATTAAAAAAAAAAAGTAGTTATATCATTACATCAGTTAGTATTGTATTGAAGGTGGTGAGAATCGTTCTGAGTCTGAGTTACAATGTATCAACATACGCATGCATTTTTTCCATTGAAACTTGACGTAATAGATTACGTATATAGCAAATGTAAACGTTACTTACGTCCAATCAACCTGTTGCTGCTTGCTATAAACTTATACCTATAAAAATGTATGATTTCCGTGAAGGAAATTCAACTCTACTATCTGACCAACCTTGTTGCGCTTTCTTGTTAGATATAATATTAACAGTCATAAAAATAATGTTGAATTCTCGAAAACTTTCCATGATCTACACCACTTATATCTTACTATACTTACTAATATTATAAATGCGAATGTTTAGGAGTCGCGAGCGACCGTTTTCCATCAGAAATTAATTTGGTCAGAGCTTTGTACAACAAGTTATAGATTGTCAGACTTATTTTAAGATTAAGTTTATCGGTAGATGAAAGACATATTCATCTACAGATATTACTAAATATCTATGACAAAGCTATCTACATCGACTATTGTTAAAAGCTCAGAACAAAGGGAGAGACTGGAAATTTCTACAGTCCATTGTTTACCGTTGTTTGAAATATAAGAAAGGAGTGCAATATTGGAAGTGGTATGGCCAAGGATGTAGGTGACATAACGGCTAATTGTCGAGGGGTGACGCGTCAGATACGAGACTGTCAGGTGAGTAACAGCCGAGAGACTATGACTAAGTGATATGCAACACGTGCAGCACCGCACCGCTTGCATTGTTGAATAGCGAAAGTAGTTGAAATTAAAATGATAAGATTTGTGAAACGAGACATAACACCAAGAAGCGAGTATATCACCATGGGCAACGCATCTGCGCTTCCTCTGGTATTTCAAGTCTCCATGGGCGATGAACACCTCGGTGTTCTCACTGCTCGTTTCCCCCTTCTCTTCAAAAAAAAACATAACATGTCCCTAAAGATGCGATGTTTTATATCTATTTGCAGCATATCATTCGCCATTTTTGGCGGCGGTGTGGCGATGCACATGTGGCATCTCGCTTAGGAATACATTCAATATAATTTGCATCCAATCATGGCGTGACCTTTGCTGAGTTAACGTGACATGAAAGTAACATACCAAGTTCTATAACAACGTTTACGTAGTAGATGATTTCGTCAGCTTTAATACGCAAAAAAGGCTGACGTCAAAACCTTCGGAGTTTACGATAATGATTCCCTTCTATAATTATTCAAGCATGACCTTAATTTCTTTTCAAAAGAAGTTACACTTCAATTAAAGTTAAATGGGGTAATTATTAAATCATTAGTCAGTTACAAAGTTGCAGGCGTTGGAGATAATCCTAGTATAAAAATCGTTACATAAGTGGTAGATTTACTTTCGGTAAAAAACGATCTTTTTTTGCTTCGAACCATGAAGAATTCGCTGTTTGAATATTAGTGAAAATGCTTAAAAGCACATAAAAAAAAATTATTTGTATCATTTAAATGAATGACATCTGTAAATTACTAAAAAAAAAGTAGATATCACTCGCGTTTACTTTTAGCTTCTTATAATCAGTGAGTCAGTCCTTTCTAGATATTTATTACATAACAAGACACATTGGAAGGACAAAAGATGTACGCAGTAGCTTCATACAATTACAAAGGATTATATGTCGGGGATATGCGCTCTTATTTCATACCAAGAAAACATTGCGCATATACAATAGATATAAGTATGCCATTCCTATTTTGTTTAGAACAAAGAAATCAAGGCGTTAACGCAACAAATGCTTGACGGATCATTGCCCTTATTTTTTCCACATCAACTGCCATCGACTTATTTCATATACGATTAAGACAAACATTTTTTTTAGAACAATTCACATATTATATATTTTTATCATTTATTTTATAACATTTTCAGGCAATATCACCTAAAAATATTGGGATTGGGAAAGTAGGTAAAAGAGAAAAAGAAAAACAAAAATGCAGTTCTATGGTACGGTATGGTAAGTCAAGAAGATTCCATCGAAAAGACTTAAAACAATCTATCGTTGACCCTCATTTGTTATATTTTAAAATGAAATTATGTAACAGTAACAATGACAGAACAATTATTCGTTTTGTGAGTAAGGCGTTACAATACCTCTTCCTTCCACTAATCAATGAGGATATATCCAATTTATCTATCAGAGGGAACGTCTACGGTCTGACCGGTCGAATAAAAGAATTGAGAGCACTAAGCCGCGTCCGTATCTAAAATGCATTCAACGGTTTAATAATAAATAGCACCTTGTACTATGAACCAGATGTTGCGTATTGTTCTGACTCAATTCACACGAGATATAATAGTTTGCATCCATGCTATGACTAAATAATAATGAAACATTTCGTATGTTGCAGATTGAATTCAAAAATCTTTTTCCACCCAATAATTAGTAACCGTAAATTTAAATTTTAATTAATTGACACCGACCGCCCTACGATATGTGCCGCTCTCTAAATCCTTTGGCATTTCAAATCACAGCTTAGATGTATCGGAGCATATTTGGATAATACATGCGTTGAATACCGGTCGAAACATTGCCTCCAATGTCAGGTATATGAAGGGTTTTGGGATGTCAATAGAGTAAATCTTGCTAATATTATAAATGTGATGTTTGTTTGTTGGAAGGTATCTCAAAAACAGCTGGATGGATCTCACTTAAATTTGGCGTACATGTAGAAGAAAACATAGGCTACTAATTTAGTTTTTTTTCTGCACGGACAAAGTAGCGGGCGATAGCCAGTATACGATTTATAAATATATGATTGTTGCTGTTCGTCCGTGTATGTCCACGTGCGGAGCAGCCGGCTTGTCGCGACCTCACTATCAGTACAGACCGCACGTTTTGTATGTCTGTTGACTGCGCCACAGCGATGATTATTTATAGCTGCTATAAGAGAATAATAAACACAATTATTCTTGTTAATATTCGCTATTATGTATAATGTTCTAACCAGAAGTATCTGAACAATTAAAAACTTTTAAAATAGTAAAATATGTTGATCGATTTAAGAAAATGGAAAAGAATCCTGCGAATTTTGTTAAAATGTATTTTTTTAACTTTGAGTTTGGAAGGGGATGACATAGTGTGTTATATCCCGTTATCGCCATTCCGTACAAACCATAGACGAACGTGAATCACTATTTGTTTTTTATTTGCCATAAAAATATGACAATAACAAAAAGCAGACTAACACATATACAATCAATAATACGAGATTGATCTTTCTATTTTTGTACAATTGTTTTATCGAATTGAATGACTCAATGTGAGTAGAGTTGCGTAGTACAATAGAGAATGGAGATCAATAAACTTTTATAGTTCATTTCGCTTTGCAATACTTCATTATCGATAAGAAATCTCAACACAAAGTAATTGCATTAGATAAGGCGCCAATTGATAAGTTTTATGACTGAAAAAAAAAAATTAAAAATACAATGTGCAGTATAACACGTCAAGAGCACTGACACTTCATAAATAATTTCAATCTATCTCAAATTTGCCGTGAATGGTATGGACATTTGAAGGACATGTCGAGAACTTGAGTATTTTTTGGCCTGACGTGCCAACGGATATAATGCGACAATATTGTTCATAAATCTTTTGACACATTGATTACATGACTTTCACCTATTCGCAAGGTTCATTGTTCCCTTGATTACGTAAAGTTGTAATAAGTTTTCAATATTGAAATACACAATTATATATTATTTAAAATTAAAAATAGCCATCTACCATGTGAGAAATGAAACCATATTGATATAAATTAATATCTTATATTTTGATTTATGAAGTACAAGACCAAGATGAGATATAGCGTCCAAATTTTTTATTATATAAATACGCTCTTTGTCATTTTGGCTAATACAATGGCTGGAGAATAACATAACAAAACGTTTGTAAGAATAATAATATTAACAGGACTACAAAAACATTATTATTTACTATTATTTGCCTTAATTCAAAGATGTTCAAGAAAATTGGTTTCATTATAATTGTAGATGGAATCAAATATATTTAGAAGAATTCAAACCGAGAGTCCAAGTTACATAATCTTAAATTATATTTGACTTACCGTGTATTGATAACATTGATTGACAAAACAGAGATAGTACGTTTTATACGGAGAATTTGGTCTCAGAAAGCCACGGTTAGTCCGGTATGATAAACGCAGATGTAGAACTATAAGATGGACGGAGTCGCTGCGGGCAAATCAAAACATTAACCGCTTCTGTATAACTTTGACATATGTATATGTAGATATAGTTATCGAAGTGTGTCATATTGTCGGTGCAGACGTCTCGGCCGCTGTGATTCGTGACTTTGCTAGTAGGGCTGCCAACTTTGAATAAACGTACTGAATAAACTCCAGGTTGTAGGAAAAAAAATCTTCGCCTTGATTGAAACCCTTGATTTTAGCAGTCAACGGAAGAAATACATACAGAATGCTAACCCGTAGCATAAATATACAGATAGAAAATTCGGAGACCTCGGGTAAAATCCGTAAAGGTTGCAAGTTACAGCCCTATTCACCGGTCACTTCGTACTATCGGCTTGCGCCTGCGCTGTCACACGCCGCTCAGAGTAAACAATGTCTTTGTGCGCGGGGTCAAAACACCATTCTACATTGATTCGAAACTTCATTGAAAATTCGCACTTACACACCAATTCGTCAAAAACAATGAATAACAAACAACGTAATTGGTCACGTTCCGAGTTACTTAATCTGTTTTGTAACCGTAAGTAGTGCCGAAATGTTTTCATAAAACAAGTTATGATTATATAAAACTTGTTGATTAAGATTGATTTGGCTGTATGAATTGACTCCTCATAAGTTAAATTGACGTCGCTATGTACGAGTACAAAGTGGTAAAACAAACAAAGGGACGAATTGAGAACCTCCTTCTTTTTGAAATCGATTAAATGTGTCCTTAACCCAATGGACGTCTGAGTTTCGATTTGTAAAAGGAAATAAAAATAATTACTCATTTATTTATTGAATTTATGTATTGTTGTCGTAATGTTAGCGATGAGTTAGACACTAAAGTTAGACACTTTCAAGGCCATAGGCGGATATTCAGGACTTTCATTTCCCACGTATTCCGAGAACTCTCTTTCACATTCCGAGCAATCTTGTTAAGTTATAATTATTGTAGCTATCTTCTGGATTCACATTTGTATTTATATAAGGTGCTAGCTGTCGCCAGCGACTCCGTCCACGTGGAATGAAAAAAAACTTAATTAGTTCCCGGTAATTATTCGAATTTTTATCACCTTTTAAACCTTCCCTAGACCTTCACGAATATTTCAAGACCAAGATAAGATAAATCCGTTCAGCCTTTCTCGAGTTTTAGCGAGACTAACGAATAGTAATTGTTTTTTTATATATAAGGTGGTAAACGAACGACGGAAGACTTCGCTAAAATAGCGAAGTAGCGAATACTGCCTATAGACATCTGTAAGAATTAATAGATTGCAAATAAGTGGAAAATAGGTAAATATCTATAGCTCTCATCGTTATCATATTAACATATATTTCAACTGCACGCAAGTTTGATATTCGCAACATATGCTTTCTCAGACGCGATAACCATATCGATAGTAATTTTCTCTTAGTCCGATGTTTTCGTTTATGACTACTATTTCTACAAACATACATTTTTATTATATACATATCATTGGGCGAAAAGTACAATACAAACTACGAGAATCTTTCGTAATAAAATCTTACTAATATTGTTTAGATGGATGGATGGATGTTTGAAGGTATGTCAAAGACCGCTGAAATTAGGCATATGTAGAATTTTTTAAATTCCGTGTGGACAGAGTCGCAGCCGAGAGCTAGTTAATAAAGATATCTTATTTAAAGGAAACTAATGAATGGAATGCGACTTGATTTGTTTGTTTATTTTGTAAGAACAGGACATTTGAATATTTATGTTGAAAAAAAATTCACAATTTAGATAGTTTGAAATAAAACCAAAAAAACATACAATCTTCTATTAAAAAAAACAAAGTTTGAAATAATTCTCAGCGTAAGCTTAAATTATTCATGAACGTCGTGTGATAATATTTGAATGCAACTTAATGCAAGGTCAAGTTAAATTAATTATTTATGTAAGGTTATGTTCTGTCTTCATGGTCGATGCCTTTATACATAACTGATGTCAGAGGTAACTTAACGCCTGACCTCACTTGACCTTAAAGCACTTGTCGATTTATTTGATTTGGATTTTAGGTTACCTAGTTCATAAACGAAATCCAATCTATCAGACAATTTGTAAACAATAATTTTTATTAAATAATTTAATAAGTACTCACATCCAGAACCCTAAGGGGTAGACAAAAATAGTATAGTGGATTTGGAAAGAAAACCTTATCGTTTTATGATCTGTACATTAAAACATGCTATACCTATTTGAAGTAAAATTTTACGATACGAGAATATTTTTAGGACAGAAGTATGTATGAAATAATTGTAATAATTTCACCCAATAGTCTGAGTAACGAAACCGTTTAGATAATATAATCGAGTTTAATTATTTGCTTTAATAAATGTTATGTGTACAGAGTTATTGAAGAGGTGATGTTACGCGATTATTGTAACAGGTTGTGATGTTAACAATATTAATATTACCCCTGTCACTGCATAATTATCATTGTGTTTGTTGGAATTAATCGTTTAAAGAAAAAAGCGAAAGAATATTAGACAAAAGACTTGGTAAGAAGACACTTCTATCAAGTCATCCTGACCTTTCATCACTTAAGAGCTTATTTTTTTAGACATTCTGAATACCTGTGTCGACGCAGGAGTCCCCGCCTTGCGGGCGAGCCGCTTGGCCCAGCACCGTCGTTATCGAGCTTCTCCGGTGATCGGAACAGTTTCCGAAAAGCGGCAGCGACTTTTTCCTTCGAGCGGGACGTCATTTTCCACTGTTTTATCTACACTTTCTTTTGAACACTCAACTTTTCAATTTTTCACAAAATGTTTACGTGCTCAACTATTTATTTACATTCGCGCGTCAGCTGTCATACAGACAGAGAACGTCAAATTTGATTTTGGAACTTTAGTGTTGTTCGTTGGCGGGGCGCGTTTGCATTACCGGCGAACACGTGCGATAACTCACGCAGCCGTTGCGAAGATGAAAACGAAACTTGGCACGCTGTTCGCTCGGTTATCGCTCTTCGGATGCGTAGCGGCTGGTGCGGACAGAAGTGTGTCAGTCATGACAGCGCGCACATACGCGGCCGTCTCTCCGTCGCGCCGGCCCTCGTGTGAATGAACCGAGCCGAGCCCTAGAATCCAGTCCGTACGCAGACCCAATCGACGGCTCCGCACTGCAACAAAAGAACACTAATTTAGTACTCACCTTTTAATTAAAACAGATTATAAACTTTTCATTTTTAAATGACCGATGACTTCATTGAACAAATTAAACTATCATTAATTAAATTACAACAAATGGGTTTAGTGAAAGAAACGTATATTAAAAGTAATTTGGTAACTAGATGTTAATAGAACATGTCATTTGTTCCACAATAAAATATTGGTAAAAACGGAAATTATAATTAGCTGGGTCGTTGTTGTCTAAAAAACTTGAAACAGAGATAAAACTTCCCTCTTCAAAACTATTGTCACAAGCATCGTTGGTAACCTAGAAAACTGATGTTGACCTAACACGAAAGTGGGTCAAGCTGTGTTAACAAACAAATATTTGCTAAAGAAATATTCAATAACTAAATATGTAGTTTGTATAACCATTGTGTATGCAAATCATTAGCATTGCATACAACATTATTAGAGTATCAATAACTCTTATTTAAGAACTAAATATACCTTAAAGGTAAGTTATGTAATTGTTAAATTAAAAAAATATCTTCTTTCAGATTTATCTATGATATTGACATGAATACTATATACGCATGTAGACGAGCTACGTATGATAAAGTATAGAGGGACTTACATATAATTATATATGTGCTAAAATAATTATTATATAATATACTTTAACTTTAACGGACAGCCCCAAAAAGTTTCGTATATCTGCAATTACTTAGAAAACTCATTATTGATCAGTTCAATACGTTTTAAAGTTTTAAACTAACGATATCACAATAATACTTCGTCTAGACGTGCTATTTCGTCTGACATCCTATTAGGAACAAATTAAAGTTAAAGTACATTTTACGACCAGGTTGCAAGAAAACAGTTTTATTTTTCTTAGCTGACTATACTATACTATAAGTTGTTGCTATAATCTTACGTCTTACTTAATATTATAAATGCGAATGTTTGGATGGATAGAGTGATGGATGGACATGTGTTTGTTTGAAGGTATCTCCAGAACGGCTACATGAACTTCGATGAAATTTAGCACAGATGTAGATGATAGATAGCCTGGAAGAACATATAGATTACCAACTAAGTTTGTTTTTTTTAATTCAGCGGGGACAGAGTCGGGACCGACAGCTAGTTAATGCATAAATAAAGAAAATATTTAAAATACACCTTATAAGTGTATGTTATTAATTCATTCAGCAAACAGTTTCCTGCCATAATGTTGCAAGTTGTATCCGTACGATTGCTCAATCGCGATTGCGGAGGCGAGATGCAACTGTTATGAAGTTTGTACGTCATCGCAATGGCCTCTCTCTATTATACAGGTGTAAGCACTACACCTGATCAAAGTTTTACAAAATATTAACGACACCACATTTGTTCGGATTCATCACCCTATGTAGATAGACTAGCTGTCGCCCGCGACTCCGTCCGCTCGGAATTAAATAAAGACTTAATAAGTAGCTAATGTGCTCTTTTAGACTATGTTCTACATTTATGGACAATTTCAGCAATATCCGTTGAGTCGTTACGAAGCCTTCAACCAAACATCCATCCATCCATCTAAACATTCGTATTTATATTATTAGTAAGATTTGTATGAACACAAATCCATACATACAAATAGATTAATTTATGTGTTAATTATGAATATATATAAATAATATATATTTTGTTTTGTTTTCTGCTGTACTATCGTTTAAGTATATCGTGCAAAATTAATCTAGAGAAAGCAATATGATCACAAGGGCAATTTAGTTAGAGCTGTACAAGATGAATACTTAATAAGGTTATCGTCCTGTGACCTTGATATGACATTGACGACGAAGGACGAGTGAGCACAAACCCTACACGGGCTGGCAAATTGCCCGATAGCTAACTAAATTACATACATCTACGACACACCACCACCATCTTATCCGGTCTTTCTTAATATTACATATCCACACGTTTGCTTATAATCTGTTATAGTTGTCAAAAAAATTATCAGAGAAAATATATTTTTTTACCGTTTATTAACGAGATATTATGTTAAGTAAGTTAGACAGTTTGACAACCCTAATTTCTCGAGGTCTAATAAGATATTTACACTGGAGTTGGCTTCAATGTAAATTATTTAAACTTTAAGACACAAGAGTCTGGATTTTTTATCTTTGCTTTTATTATTATTAATTTTAATATTGTAAATTGGGTTAAAGAAGATACTAGAAAATTACAGTTTGATGAGTTTCTTAGCGCTTATCTCATCAAGTGGTCGGCGTCGCGTCTCAAACATTAATCATAATTACTTTATTTTATCATTGAAAATATCTTTTTCTTATTTATTCATGAAATAAATTACCCTATGTTTTAATCTGTAAAATATGTATAGAATATGAAATACTTTATCCATAGATTAGGAATATTGCTCAGTGATTTATCGTTGGCTTCTGAGACAAAAATCTCTGTATAAGACATATTATTATCTCTGTTTTTGTTGCCAAAGATAATGTGAAGGATGACAATATGTTTTATACCGTGATTTTGGTGTCCAAAACCAGGTGTTAATGGAATAAATTTTAACTGGAGAAAAGCGAATTTATTTTAATAATAATTTCAATGAAAGAAATTTATTTCAATAATAAATTTGTCCAAAAAAACTTCATTAATATGTAGTTATATACACTTCTTAGTGTTACCTTCTACTGTAAAAAAAATAAAATGTAAATATTTTTGTTTTCATTCAAATGTAAAATTAAATTTTGAACAAGTTGCTATTTAAGAGGTAAATAACAAATAGACTATGTCAATTAAAAATAAATTCTCATTTTTTAAAATAGTGTAGGTGAAAAGACTTGAAAGCGATGTAATTGAGGAGCGTTGGCTTCTCTGAAGGATCCTCGCTTTACATTTCTCGGCGTTGAAAATTAATGCGATCGCCGCTTATACGAGAACATGAAAGCTTTACAAAAAGCTCTACGAAACTTTATAATTACGTTCCGAGACGTAGCCTGCGTTTGTAAAAGTTTTTTTAGAGGTAATTAGGCACTTTTGGATCTTATGATAAAAGTTGTACTGCGTTTACGAAGATTAGGGATAATCGAAATTGCTGGATTAGATAAAATACTAAAAAGAAACTTTCCAAAAATTTTATTTTCAGGAGCAGCGTCTTATATTTTTATAAATACTTACAACTTCTTATTAATTGCGATTTCAAACAACCGATTAAGGGGTTCTGTTCATAGTTGTACGGACGTGCAGTCCATATAAAATTGATGATAAAATGTCCCCTAACTGCGTTTACTCAAAGTTCAAACGATTTAAAGTAAATGAAAGGATTAGGGTCAATGAATGGATGAAGAGTTCAGAAGCTTGAATTATTATTTACTTGTAAAGCAAAGGGTAAGTAATAATTATATCCATAGTATTGACTTAAAATTATAGACATGTCTATAGATAGAATTTATAATTAAAGACGAACATTTGACCATCATTATAAATAGAACGAGGATGTAATGTAAATAAAACATTATGTTTATCATGTATTCAAAGGTTCTTGCCACTATCGCCTTTGTTGATCTTGTAGGAAAAAAATAAGGCAAGTTTGAGTTGAATGATAAAGATCTCAAAATAAATATAATACGTAATAAAGGAAATATTGTGACTTATGTAACTTATGTGGCATCAAAACAAGACAATATGTATTGATTCTTCATTAGCTGATTGTATCCGGCGAAAAATATAGTCTATTAGCTGTCGCCCACGACTCCGTCCGCGAGGATAATAAAAAACGTATTAAGTAGCCTATCTGTTCTCCCAGACTATGTTCTGAATGTATCTCAAATTTCATCGAGATCCGTTCAGCCGGTCTGGAGATACCTTCAAAAAAACATCGATCCATTCAGCTATCTAAACATTGGCATTTATAATACTAGTAAGAAGTAAGACGTCATCTTTAAAAAAAAATTTGGAATCCTAAAGAAAGTTTAACATATTAACAGAGTAAACATATTAAGAACGAATAAATATTACGTCTTTTAAATATAAGTTTGTATAAAATATTTCCTTAAAATATGTAAATGTTTGCTTTAATAAATTTTACATTGAAGTAACAGCTTGGGGTATTTACAAAGAGATGTACTGGGAGGGTTGTGAGGGCGACCCTCTCTCTGACGTCACAGTCTCGACAGCGCCCCCACGCGGAAATAACGATGTACAAGCAATTTACATTTATGAAAATTGTCTTCTCTGCGTAGATAATGACCAATTTACATTTCTATGTATTTATACATACCATGTTATGATAAATAACTGAAATATTAATTTAGTAACCACAAGTTGTTGACAATATTTATTAGATTATTCATATTATAACATAAAAAATACAGTTATGCGTAATTTGTTCGGACGTACTAATCTCGAGAACCAAATTTGTAATATGTTGTAATTTTTTTGTATCTCACGTCCTAATTAGTGACGATGTTAATAGACCACGCCACGAGATTAATATTGTATTATAATGTGACATCGTAAACTAAAAAGTCAAATTATAAACAGCTGATGTAACTAACCTATAGCTTTTATTAAGAAGAATTAAAACTAGAAATTTTAAGGAAATTTATGCTCTCTTTTATTTACGTCTTAGTTTTAAAATTTGTACTATTCCAAAGTCCAACGTTCAACACAATTGTATTAAGTACATTATATGAGCATTATCTCATAAAACGTCTGGTGTCAGTTTCAAACTACTGAGACATTGGTACGCAGTGGAAACAAGAAACGCTGAGTATAGCTATCCTCAATAAACGAACTGATACACAAACAAAAAGCTCTCTATATCTAAGAATTTTAAAAGAAAGACGAAGGATATTTCTATGATAAGTATTTGAATTTGCAAAAGCATATTTCTGAACTTTGCTGAAACTTAACAATAATAATAAAATGTAGTCTTGACTATGGATTGCTCTCGGAATTTTATTTGTATTGTGTAATTACTGTTGTGATTTTTTCTACGATAGTT